CGGGGCAGGGCTGAGACGCTCCGTTTGTCTCTGTGGCCCGGGGCCAGTGGAGCTGGGTGTTCTGCGGGAGCAGAGCTGACATACTCACCCCTAAGGGAACTAATACACTTCAGTCAACTCCCTGAACTGTCACAGACTCTCTGCTTTCTCCCCTGCACTGATGATGAACAGGGGGTTGTTTGTAAATAGCTTCCTCCTTTAGAATCTGCCTCTTCTTCCTGCCAAGTTCTCTTTGGCGTGGTCCAGATCACAAAGACTTGCCATGTTATAGTTCACTACCTAGGGGACCACCAACCCAGCACTGGGCTGAAACACCGCCAGCCAGAAGAGCAGGAGGCTGACTGTACCGAAGGCTGTTTTTATTTACACACAAAGTTCTGGTGAACCCGCAATCCTAGGACAGGGAACAAAAAGAACCTCCAGGCCAGGTACCGTGGAATGTGCTAACACTGTCTCATTGTACAGGAGCTTTAAAATACTATGGGAGTAAATACAGGGGTCCTAGTCCGCCTGAACTGGGCCTTTCCTGCCATATCGCCATCCCCGGATCCACTGCTGCCCTTTGCACTAAGGCCCCAATCCTGCAATGCTATCTGCTAGCTCAGACCCGCTGACGTCAACAGGACTCTGCACAGGCCTAGGGGTCCAAGCTGATGGCTCCTGACGCGGGATCAGGGCCTCCCTTTGTCTTCTGTGCTGCTCTAAAGAGAACTGAGTTCCTCTCACCTGTTTGGACTCGGTCAGGCTGCTCATTAACTTATTCACTTCCTCAGCAACCAGGGATTCTTTACCTTCCGACAACTTCGTAACAATCTGGGGGAAAAGGAAACCTCGAATGGTCCAGGTGTTCCAGGATTGTGCACAAATACCCAGACCAATATGGGTCTGTCTACACTGCAGCTGGCAGAGAGCCTCCCAGCCTAGCTGGATGGACTCGTGCTAGCTCAGCTGGAGCGAGCTTGCTAAAAATAGCGGTGTGGACATTGTGGCTCTGGCAGCGGGCTGGGCCACCTAACGCCCTGGACCTGAGACCAGGTGGCTAGCCCGAGTCTCCAACAGAGCCACAGCCTCCACCTTGATATTTTTAGTGAGCTAGCTAGTGCAAGTCTGTCTACCTGGCTGGCTCCCAGCTGCAGTGTAGACATACTCTGTGTGCTCTCAGTTAGGTAGATAATATGCTATTGAACCCAGAATTAGGATTTAGACACAACAGACCTTTCCCAAAGAGACAAGTACGGCCTCTTGAGTAAATGACGTGTGATTAAAACTAGCTGTGAAAGTCTAAAAATGCACAACAACAAAAAGGTAGGAATTTCAGAAAAAGAATCCATTTAATAAACGCGTTCATGTGGTCAAGCACTGTGCCAGATATGGAAAGTTAACGCTAACAGTCTAAGGTCAGCAGGTTTTTCTATTAAATCGCTAAAATCCGCTTTAGTGTTTATTTTCAGTCAAGGGCACAAGTTACAACATTTGGCTAGAGCTCTAAACTTCCCCAGAGCGCAGGAGCACTGGGCTCTGGGATTTTAGTTCAGGCCCCTCTCTGGGTTTGTCTACACGGCCTTGCAGATTGGACTACGGATAGGCACATTGCAGCGCGCACACCGAAGTCCTTCAAAGAGGACAACGTTAATGCGAACCAGGTACCTTTTAAAAAATCTTACTGAGTTATAGGTGAAACCGCTGTGATAGACCCAGGCCAGTTGGGTATAGCAGAATAGCAGAAGGCAGATATACTGGCCACTGGATTAACAGTTTTCTGTTTCCTGACTGACCAGAGCAGGGGCTGCTCCAGGCTAATGAGAACATCTGACTCCAATTAACCTGCAAAGAGTCAGGTGAGGCCATTAAGCTAATGTGACCACCTGACTCTAATTAAGGCCCCGCTGATACTATAAAAAGGGCTCACTCCAGTCAGGCAGAGGAGAGCAAGTGCGGCTGAAGGACTGGTTAATGAAGACACTCTCAAGTTATTGATAAGGGAGCCCTAAGGTAAGGATGAAGAAGGGAGAAGCAGGAGAGCTGTGGGGAAGTGGCCCAGGGAAATGTAGCAACTCTGGCAGTGAAAGGATGGCTGCTAGCAGCTGCTACCATTAGGGTCCCTGGGCCGGAACCTGGAGTAGAGGGCAGGCCCGGGTTCCCCCCAACCCACCACTACAGGAACACCTCCTGGGAGGGGAAGTCAGGCCCCTGTCAGGACAGGAGGCTAAACTGTTCTAAAACAAGCCCTAGGGACAACAGAGACTGTGGGAGTTCTCTCACCAACCTCCTTGCTGGCTTATGATGAAAAGGGCTCAGTAGACTGTAACCCTGGCCCTAGAGAGAGAAGGGCTACGTGGAGGGTCACAGAGAGCCACTGAGGCTAGCATATACTGCCTAGAAGTGCAGGACCCGCAGGGACAAGGTCAGAGCTCTGCCACACCGCGTTATATTGAACTTGCTTTGATCTGCCGGAGTGCGCACCCCCCCACCACCCCCGGAGTGCTGCTTTACCGCGTTATATCTGAATTCATGTTATATCGGGTCGCGTTATATCAGGGTAGAGGTGTACCTCTCCCACCTTGTCTCCATAATGAAAGAGACCGGACAGAACGGTGATTCTCCACTTGCTGGCTCTCCTCCTTATGTCTAGCTGCTAAATTCACAGATTTTTGAAGGCCAGACAGGCATGATGGTTATCTAGTCTGAGCTCTTATGTAACACAGGCCAGAGAATTTCACCCGGTAATTAAGGCACTGAGCTCAATCACCTGTGATTAAATGACATTATACTAAGTTAAAAACAAATGAAACACTTTCCCTACTATTCACTTTCCACATAGCAACGGCTGTAGGAGTTGCCACCGAATGCTCTTTCCTTGCAAATGGAAGGCGGGGTAGTCTGCACAGTCGTGAATGGGAAGGTGGGGTGGCCAGTGCAGTTGTGAATGGGGAGAGAGGTGTCCAGGAGCCAATGTGGTCTATGTTGCTAGAGCCCTGGTACAAAAGTCAAGTGTAGGTGGCTAAGCAAAGGGCCAAGCCTCAGTTTTTATTCTTGGTTTTCCTAGAAGGCAGGCACAAGGTGAAACCTTTACTCCCAGGGAAACTCAGTTAAGATTCAACATCTAGTTTGCAGTAAGGTTCTTTGTGTAGACTAAGGCACAAGATCACCCCGTAAGTGAATGGTCCAGGCAGGTCTCAGTCTCGGTTCTGAGTGGCAGGAGCCCAGGCATCTATTCCTAGCTCTGACTTGCTGTGGGACCTTGGGTAAGTCACTTAACATTGCTATAGTTCAGTTTCCTCAGCTGTAAAATGGGGATCATAACCCCTGTCTACCTCACGCTCTTGTGAGCATCCCTGACTTTACAGATACGTCTATACTCCAATTAAAAATCCATGGCTAGCCCATGCTAGCTGACTCAGGCTCCCGGGCTGTTTAATTGCGGTGTACACGTTTGGGCTGGAGCCCAGGCTCTGGGATCCTGCAAGGAAGGAGGGTCCCAGAGCTCAGGCTGCAGCCTAAACCCCAACTTCTACACTGCAGTTAAACAGCCCGGCAGCCCAGCCCGAGTCAGCTGCATGGGCTAGCCCCAGGGTGTCTAACTGCAGTGTGGCCACCCCTTCGGAGTCATGGATAACAGGTGCTGGAGAGGCACTGAGGGTTTATTATTTTGCAGACACCCCTGCAAACAATGGAAGTGACTGTTGTAGAGCGAACCGTGGCATAGCATTGCAGCCTGACCCACCCAGATGAATGGAGCGGCCGCTATATAACACGATTTACCTGCTCGAGCTTATGGAAGGAGCTGGAACTGCTGGTCGTCTCCATTTGGAAAGCAAGCACGCAGCGCACTAAGGGAAGCACGTCGGCATCGTCTAGCTCCCATAACCCCTTGCTCAGCTCCTGAAAGAGCAGAAGAGCCTCCTCCAGATTTTTATCTTTACACCTCTTCACAGAACCCCTGGAAAAATTAAACACGGGATTGTCATGTTAACGCTGACTTGTTCCAAACACCTCCAACTGAGCGAGGGAAAGAGTTCAGACTGCAGCTACGGTCAGTAGTCACGGAGCGGGACAGGGAAAACTGCCTGGCTTTTGCTTAGCACCCATCCCAATAGTATGTATAGCGCGCGTGTTTAAATTATATTTATTCATTTAAACCTATCGGTCTAGATTTTCATAAGTGACTAGAGATTTATAGGTTCTTCACTTGTTTCCTCACCAAAGCCATCTGGTGTTCCCCCATTTGCTTTAAAAGATACTAACACGTATATAAAGGCTGGGGCCAAGGTTGGTAAAAATAAAATAATTCTGCAAAATCTCTAGATAAGAAGCAGAAGAAGGGAGGTAGAATAAGATCAGACTGGCCCTGTGTAACGTAAATACAGCACTGGAAAAGAGTCAGGGCCCAGTGTCACTGAATATAAGAGAATTAGTTAAATTTCATTCTGCTTTATCGCACCAGCCTTGTAAAGCAAAATATCAACCAAACTCCCCATATAACCAAAGATACAAATATATAAACCAAGCCGCATCTCCAGCAGAAACACAGCAAGGAACCTCATCGGGAAGAGGAGAGTGACTCCCCTCATAAAGTACCCCCTTATCCTAGGTTTGGATCCACAGACGGGCAGCACCCTACAGCAAGACTGATTTCGGCAGGAATCTGCAGACCCGCTGGGAGTCTACGTTTGCAACAGGTCAATATCTGAAACAGAATGACGTGCCACAGTGGAAGTGAGCAGTTGCAGGCTGAAAACTAGCATCGTTTCGCTTTGCGTAAGGCGGTGTCTATGGCCCAAATGCAGGACTTTAGCTGGGTACTGCTGGCTCTACACTCGCCAGTCAGAAGCGGGGATAACAATGCTTCATTGGAGGTGAGAGAGAGGGAAAGTGAAAGAGGAGTAAAACTGATTGAAAGAATTACCCTCTCTCCCTACAGAACTAGTTTAGCCAAGACATCCACGTGTCCCTTTTAGCCTGCACACTGAATATTCCTTGACTTGCTTTCAGTCCTTGCATTACTGTCATTTCCAGCTCTCTGTCTCAGCTGTCACACAGCAGGTTAGTGCAGGTAGTTTTTACACCTCTGAAGACCTGGCCTGGGTATAAGTCTGATTAAAACAATACGTGCAACGAATTTGGTTTCAAACTAACGACTGACTGTTCACATCCCACACACATGGACAGGAAGTCTGTGCAGTGAGGAGACAAGGGGGCTGCGGGTCAAAACGAGAGGCTAGGGCCCAGCAAGTCAGTACAGAGGTGTGGTGGTGAGAAGGGTCGAGGACTAGAAATGCAGGGGGTGCGGAGGCTCAGGCTTGAAACGCAGTGGCAGAGAGTCCAAAACTGGAATAGCCTGACTGTGCTGTAGGTCAGAAGAGAAGTGAACTTTGTACTCAGCCTCGCACAACACCCACGTGCGCTGCTCAGCTCTAGCCAGCCCTCACTTTCAGGAACACTAGTATTTAACCCACATTTACCCAGCTACTAAAAACAGGGAGACGTGTTGAACTGGCAGCTCCTTGAGGCAGAGACTGTTTTTCTGTTCTGTGTTTGTCAGTGCCTAGCAAAAGGGAGTCCAGGGGCATGCCTCCACTACCCAGACACTACAGTAATACAAACAATTAACCCCGAAGAATGGTTACAGAACGAACACTTTTGATCCTTAAAGGGAAGTTACATTTGGCCTTGAAGTTAAACCTGGTAGAAACTTTCCCACCATGAAAACAATCCACTGAAATCCCTTTTTCTCAAGGAAATAGACGCCCGCTCAGTGTGCAGCCCAAACACGGGAGCAATGAAACCTGACAGCCAGAGCGACTATAATCCAAAGTGAGACCGATTCCACTGACCCTTCCTGGTCCCCACTGCCAGCACTGCACGGGGTGGGGACAGCGCGTCAAAGGGGACAACAAGCTGAATGACAAGACAGACTCACCCACGCTGTGTTAGTAAAGCAGGTAACACCCCAGTTTCTTATCACATGAGTTTGGTTTTCAATTGGGTGTCTCTTTAAGCTGCCATGAACCAGTCACCGGGGGCCCAACTGTCACAGGTCATTGCCCGGCGACAGGACAGCTCCCGGCCCCACCTTCGCTGTGCAACCTGGGCAGAAGCCCAAGCGCTGGGGGGCACAGAAGGGAGCGGGCAGGGCGCCCGGGTGCAGAGCGGAGGGGGGCAGGGACCAGGGCGGGAGCGCCGGCAAGGGGCGCAGGCCCCGTCCCGGCTTCTGCCCCCGGCCACCTCCCGGGAGCGCCAGCACCATGCGGGGGAGATGCTCTCCAATGGCCCCCCGTGGCAGGAGGGGGTTAACTGCCCCACGGGTCCCCCCAGGAGCTGGCCGCCTGCAGCCGGGGTCCGAAGGGGGCGCCCAGCACTCACCCTGCGAACTGCTCCAGCTTCTCCAGGAAGGCGAGCACGGCCCGGCAGAGATCGTGCAGCGGCTCCCTCCGCCCGAGCCCCCGGTAGAAGGCGAGGCAGGCCTGGGCCTCCTGCGCCGAGCCCATGGCTCACGGAGCGGCCCGGGGAGGGCGGCCGGGAAGCGAGCCAGGCTGCCCCGGGGATCGAGCGCAGCACGTGGGCTTGGCAGCTCCGGGCCGGGGCCGCGCTCAGCTGTGGCGGCCACCATAGAGTCGGGCGCAGACTGGGCCGGGCCGCCTGGCTGCGGCCGTCACGGGGAGCCTCTGCCCTGCGGGCCCGCCAGCCCCATCTAGTGCCGCCGGCGGTCCGCACAACCAGCTCCCGCTCGCACTGCCCGACTCCGGGGGCACTGCGCATGCTCACCCGCACTGCGCATGCCCAGTAACCTTCGCTGTTGCCTCTGCCCTCACTTCTACTTACCGCTTGCTGCCCGCTGGGTGGAGGGGTTTAGAAGGGGAGGGGGGAGGGAATCGGAGCGCGGGGGCTGTCAGGGTCTGAGCAGGGGGCAGAAATTTACTGGACGGGGGGGGAGTCAAGCGGGAGAAAAGGGGCTGAAGGCGGAAAATCGGGGATGGGGGGTGGGAGCCGGGGTTAAGCGGGGGGGGGGAAGACGCTGCCAGACCCTGTGTGGGGACAAAACCCCCGTTTAGAGAGGGGGAGAGGGGGGAACAGTGACCCCGGGGGATGTGCTCGCAGATCTGGGGGGTTGGGGGGGCAGAGGCTGGTTTCGTTCTGCTCACAGGACGCTGCATGTCAGCCCCGGAGCAGAGGGCGGGTTCCTGGGGCTGGGGGTCTTAAAAGCACAGGCAGCCCAGTTCTTAGACTGTCAAAGCTTAGACACCGCAGCTCCTCTCTATCCTATACAAGTGTTGCGGGGCTACGTTACTGCTCCAGCCGGGAGACTGAATGCGGTGAAATACTGTACAGGCACTCCCTCCCTCAAACGCCGCATCTCACATTCTGAATATGTAAAAGTGTCTTCTATCAGTTTCTATGTCTATATGAAATCACTGCAGCTCCTTTCTCTTATATAAGTGCTGAGTTGCTAACTCCCTCCCAGAGCCCACATGTCTGCACCCCCTCCTACCCCAGGTCAGAGCCTGCACCCCTCACCCAGCTCGGCTCGGCTCCCACTCGCTGCAGCCACCGCTGGAGAATTCCGTGGGCACAGCTCCGCGGCTGGGACCCCGTTTCTGCTCCTCTTTGCACTGCTCGGCCGTGGTCCCCGTCATGCCTGTTCCTTCCTGGGCTCCCCTGACATCTGCTGTGTGGTTGGGGGGGGCTGGCTGAACTCGGGCAGTGGTTTTCAACCTGTGGTCCCCAGGGGCCCACGGACTATGCCTCAGGTTTCCAAGGGGTCCGCACCTCCATTTGAAATTTCTTAGGGGTCCACAAATGAAAAAAGGTTGACAACCGCTGAATTAGGGGAATTGGAAAAAAAACATGTTACCTAATGGGCTTTAAAATGTGGAGGGGGGCAAGCTGTGTCTGAACATCACTTACCCGGTTTGGGGTTTTAACACATGTGAAAACACAACTTGCTCTATCCGGACTAGGATTTTAAAGCACGTTGGTTAACATGGATTTTTTAAAAAACACATTTTATCCTAGTCTAGACAGTCCCTTAATGGGAAAAAGACAGGGATCCTGATATAAGTCAGTGCACGTAAAATTACGGTGCTTTGCAGTAGGGAGGAGCCTGTAGGCTGAGATACTTTCACAAAGCTTTTAATATTGTGCGGGCACCAGAAATATTTCCCAGCGGGTTGTTTGCGGGAGTTTGTGCTTTCATTGCATGTCGAGTGTGAGCCTTTTTCTTAAGGACCAAGAGCTCAGCGAGGTGGTGAAAGAGCAGCAAATGCCATTAAAAAGAAAATTGTAGAAGCTGCCCATTCTGCAAAATACTTTTCAATAATACTGGACTGTACACCAGATGTGAGTCATGTTGAACAAATGATGATCATTCGTTTTGTGGATATGGAAAAGTCTGCAGATGAAGATAATGTTGAAGTGCTCATAAAGGAACATTTTTGGGGTTTCGTACCAATGAAGGAGACGACTGGAGCATTTATGACTGAAACTCTTCTACAAGAGCTTGAAACAATGTCATTATCTGTTGAAAACTTACGTGGCCAACGCTATGATAATGGGAGTAATATGAAGGGTAAAGGAGAATGATGGAAATCAATCCTAGGGCCTTTTTCTTTCCTTGCAGTGCGCATTCTCTGAATTTGGTTGTCAATTATGCTGTTTGGAGGCAAGCAGTTTCTTTGACCAGGTGCAACGTGTTTATGTATTTTTCTCAGGCTCAACACACCTTTGGGAGATTCTGACTCGCCATGTGAATTCTCTAACTGTGAAACCACTTAGTCAGACAAGATGGGAGAGTCGCATTGATGCTTTGAAGCCTCTTTGCTATGAACTTGGAAACATTTATGATGCCCTAATTGAAATTTCTGATGATACTACCTTTACTGGATCATCTGGCAGTATGGCACGTTCAAATGCAGAAGCTCTTGCAAATGGCCTTTCAAAGTTTAAATTTGTGACTTCGCTCATTTTTGCAGTATAATATCTTTTTCGAGATTAACCTCACTAGTAAGCAGCTTCAGGAAAAGAACCTGAACATACATTCTGCTATTCAAAAACTGCAGCAAACTAAAAATATTCTGGAGGAATTCAAAAGTAATGAAGGGTTCAAAAGAACACTGGTAGATTCTCTTGAGCTTGCTGGAGAAATCGATTTCCGACAGAATTTGAATCAGAGCCAGTTTGCATTTGGCAAAAGAAACAGCAGTTTTCATATGAAGGACAAGACACACCCATTCAGAACCCAAAACAAAGGTTCAAAGTGAATTTCTACTTCGCGGTCCTTGATACTGCTATTCACTTGGTTGACGAAAGATTTCAACAGATGCAGCAGCTAGAGTCAGTATTTGGCTTTCTATATGATATCCACAGCTTGCAAAAGAAAATAGCAAAACAGATAAGAGAATTTTGCATAAAACTGGAGTTGGCATTGACTCATGAAAATTCAAAAGACATTGATGCTACAGATTTGTGTAGTGAGCTTCAGGCTTTTTCAAGAAGACTTAAGAAACATTCCACTCCTGAAGAAGTACTGAAGTTTGTTTGTGAAAATAAACTCACAGACAGTTTTCCAAACATTTGTATAGCTCTACACATTCTTTTAACTTTGGCAGTTTCCATAGCTAATGGGGAACGTAGCTTCTCCAAGTTAAAATTGATAAAAACATATCTGCGTTCAACAATGGTACAAGAGACACTTGTTGGACTTGCCACAATGTCAATAGAGCATGAAATAGCTGGAAAACTGGATCTAAAAGAACTAGTGACTGAATTTTCAAAACTTAAAGCAAGAAAAGTCATGTTTTAAGAGCACAGAGTGTTTTTTATTTGGAGTGTTTTGTAAATACAGGTTAAAGTTCATTGAAGAGTTTTCTTGTTTCTATATTGGATGTTGTGGTTATGGCTGTTAAAGCAGGATAGCGTAATGGATGATTTTGGATTTGTAATAATAAAAAATATAATTAACATTTTTAATGCATTTTTATTTGAAATTGGACTGAAATATCATCTAGCTGTCATGTACAAATCTATTCTGAAAATTTCGTGTCTCTATTTTATCTGATCTCAGAAACATTGGTTGGACGGATGGACAGACAAACCGAATAATTAAGCCTCTGTTTAAAAAAAACGCTTACAAAACATTAAAAGAAAAAAAGGGACAAAATCTTTCCCAGTTTACCAAAAACCTCAGCCTAGATCTGCCCTGGGGGTTTGGGAGCAGGGGGCGCCGATTGCATGGTTGGCCTAGGGCGCCAGTTGCTGGCAGCTAGTCTAGGGCTGCCCTGGGGCAAATAATACCCATCTCAAAATGCAAGAAGTAGAGAGTAATGCCATACTGTGCCTTCTCTCTTGCACTTTCTCTCACACACAACACTACACCATAAGAAAATGAATAGTAATTGACAACAGTCACCAAGCCGAGATCCAGACAATACCCCTTAACATGGAAAAGCCTATGGAAGCTGCCACCTCAGATTTCTGCTGCTCAGTTGGGAACCAGTTTGGTGATGAGAAATCCATCAAAACGGGTGGTGTTGTGGGACCTGCAGGATCTTTTGCAGGGATTACTGATCAAGGTGGCCAATATTCCTGAGATCACTAATGTATTTAAATAGTTGGGTTTCCCATATGGCGGTGGAGTCACTAAAGGAACTAGTTTTCCCATTCTGTCCTCCCTGTCAGGCACAAAAATACATTAACAGGACGGGGTACTATTATTTGGTGTTCCAGACCTAAATTGATCATCACAAGAAATTGATGGACATCTGCCATGTGGCCTGGAAAAGTCCGTGATGTGAGAACTTTTAAGATCTTTAGGTTCTTCCAGAGAGGACAGAATGAAACACAATAGTGACATTGATGGTGGGCAAGTTCCCACCATGATCTGTAGGGTCCCAGGGTACCACAATCCATGCTGAGATGGTTGAACAGGCCAAGCAAAATCTCTGCTCCTGGCTGACACATTGGTGAGGTCTGTGCCAAGATGGCTGAGCAGTTAGCAGGGAAGTGTCATTCACAGAGACAAGGTCAGTAACCAACGACACGGAACCAGGGAGATGTGTGTCATGTTTTTCAAAGCTCTCCCTTCCCTTCTGAGTGCGGGGCCCCTATTCCCACAGATTGCAAAGCCAACAGGAAAGTTTTGTAGGTGCTGTTTCAGTCACAGGGGAAGGCAATGTTTCCCTATAGCAGCCAGGAGGAAGAAATTCCTGCTCCCGGCCAGCAAATAGACAGGGTCTGTGTCCAGCTGTTGGAGAAGGCAGCAGAGCACCTCCCATTCCTCTCAGGGTTGTCTTACCTATCATGCCTCCATTGCTGGAAAAGACTCTGACTGCACACTCCTCAGATACCAGTGGATCCTCTGTCTCCGGCCCCTTCCACTCTTCCCACTGTGCGGTCAACCCCCACTCAGTGAAGACCCAGCTGCAGGAGGTTGTGATATACAAATCTCCTTCTCCATGGCAAGAGCTTACCTCCTCTCCCCTTCCAGCCTCCAGCGTTCCCACGGGCGGTGGTAGACGTGCCGGGCACATGCCTCCATCCTGTCCTTGTCACAGTTCCTGGGTGAATGGCATCGCTGATCCCTCCTGGTCTCATGGAGTGCACCACCTCCCAGATCTCAAGCCTTTGGCCACCACCTGGCTCTGGGTGGAATCATGCAATTCTCCACCCTCAGACTGAGCCTGGGGTTGCAGTCCCATGGTACTAGCTGTGATTACCTCAGCAAGTATGACTTAGGCTCACACCCTGCGGTTC